TGGCTGCAACTTCTTGCACCCTCCTTTTAGGGGCAACCCTTGGGTTGACAACCACACTCGGTCTCCCACCCGTATGGCATCCCCCTCCCGACGGTGCTTGTCTGCCTGCCTCTTATAAACTTCCTTGGCCCGCTCCAAGTTCATCTTGAGTTGCTGGTGCAATGCCTCCATTTCTTCCACAAACTGCTCTGCCGCAGCTACACTCCCCCCTTCCTCCCCCCTCCCCGGGAAGGCCCTGGGGTGACACCCATAATTGGCCATGAACGGGCTCATGCCCATGGACACATGTTCAGCGTTATTGTACGCAAATTCAGCCAGCGCTAGTTTCTCTACCCAATTGTTCTGTCTCTCGCTGACGTAGCAGCGTAGGTATTGCTGGAGTATACTGTTCGCTCTTTCTGCTTGCCCGTTGGTTTCCGGGTGTCGCGCCGTCGAGAAGCCCAGCTCTACCTGCAGCAAGCTCATGAGCTTCCTCCAGAACCGGGAAGTAAATTGTTTTCCGCGATCTGAGATGACCCTCGAGGGAGTCCCATGCAACCTGAAGATGTGATCCACAAACAACTTGGCTGTCTCCTCTGCTGTCACCGCATGTGAGCAAGCTATGAAATGGCACATCTTCGTCAGTAGATCGACTACTACCATGACTGCTGTCTTTCCCCTGGACTTGGGCAAATCTGTCATAAAATCAATGGACACCACCTCCCAGGGTCTTCCCGGCGTGGGTAAGGGTTCCAGTAACCCTGCTGGGGCAGCCCTCTCCCCCTTTGCCCTTTGGCAGCGGTCGCACCCCCGTACATATTCCCGTACATCCTCCCTCACCCTTGGCCATCAGAACTGCCTGGTGACGAGCAGCATGGTTTTGTGGTGTCCAAAGTGCCCAGCTGTGGGGTTGTTGTGGAGTTGTTTGAGTACCTTCCCCCTCAGGGTCTCCCCCGGTACATACAGCGCCCCCTTATAGTACAGCACCCCTTCCTTCTCCTCAAACCCTTCTTGGGTCCCTCTTCCGTCTCGGAGTTCCCAGATTTTAGTTTGAGCGAACACGTCGTTTCTAGTAAGCCCGGCCAGTTCTCGTTTCCCAACCAAGGCTCCCCCACACACCCATCGGTCCTTGGGGATCACGTGTCATATCTCCGGCGGTCCCTCTCCTTCCATGTACTCCGGCTTCCGGGAGAGAGCATCTGCTCTTACGTTTTCCTCTCCCGGCACGTATCGGATCTCGAAGGAAAACTTGGAGAACTCCTGTGCCCATCGAATCTGTCTCTGGTTGAGTACTCGTGCGGTCCTCCAGTATTCCAAGTTCTTGTGATCAGTACAAACCTGGATCTTGTGCTGCGCCCCTATTAGCAGATGTCTCCATCAGCGAAACGCCGCATAGATCGCAAGCAGTTCGCGGTCATACACCGTATAGTTTTGCTCCGACCTGCTCAGCTTCCTCGAGAAAAAGGCACACGGCTTCCATTCCTGCTTGCTCCTCCCTGGCTGCAAAAGAACCGCCCCAATGGCTCTGTCGGACGCATCGGTCTCTAGCCTCATGGGTTTCTCCAGATCAACGTGTAGGAGCTGCTCTTCCGAAGCGAACGCCTTCTTCAGTCTTTCAAAGGATTGCTGAGCACCTTCTGTCCAGGCGAACTTCCTTTTGCTACTGAGACAATCTGTGATGGGCGCTGTCAAGTGGGCGAAGTTCTTGATGAACTTCCTGTAGAAGTTGCTGAACCCTAGGAACCTCTGCACATCCTTCCGGGTTTTGGGGGCTTTCCATTCCAGCACTGCCTGCACCTTGCTTGGGTCCATAGCCAGTCCCTTGTCTGACAACTTGCACCCCAGAAACTCGACCTCTCTGGTGTGAAATTGGCATTTTTCCAGCTTGACCCACAACTGGTGCTTCTGCAGTCTCTTTAGCACTTCCCTGACGTCTCTGACATGTTGCTTCTCATTGTCTGAATAGATTAAGACGTCGTCCAAGAAGGCTACGCAGTTCTTGTACAGCAGGGGCCCCAACACGTGGTGCATGAATGCTTGAAAGCAGGCGGAGCCCGATTGTAATCCAAATGGCATAACTAAGTACTCAAAAGCCCCCAGGGGGGTGAACATGGTGGTCTTCCATTCGTCCCCCTCCCTTACCCTGATCAAATTGTACGCTCCCCTGAGGTCCAGTTTGGTGAAAATTTTCCCTTGCCTCACCCGTGTTAAAATGTCGTCAATCCTGGGCATTGGGAAGGTCACGGGTTCAGATACCAGGTTTAACACCCTGTAATCTACAACTAATCTGGGCTGATTAGTCCCTTTTTTGTCCACAAAGAACACCGGACTGCCCCCCACCGCCTTTGATTCCCTTATGAACCCCCTCTTCAGGTTCTTGTCAATAAACTGCCGTAACTCCTGCATCTCCCGGTCCGACATAGCATACAGCTTACCCACCGGCAGCTGAGGCCCTGGGATTAAGTTGATTTGGCAGTCAAAGGGCCTATGGGGGGGGCAGTCTGTCCGCCTCCTTCTCGCTGAAGACTTCCGTTCTTAATTGATATTTATTAAATTTTCAAAGAATAACAACAAAAATTTCCCAAAAAAAATTTGAGGATACAAAAAACAAAAAACAAAAATAGTACATGAAGACTTCCTTTAGGTCAGCGTATGGTGGTGGCACCTCTCCCTTTGTTTCCACCGCCAGCCCAGCCACCCTGGCCACTGTCATTCTTGGGGTTTCCCCCCCCCCCAGACGGTGTTCCAAACAGTAAGCTGACCCAAAGGTGACTGACCGCTGATGCCATGACACTACTGGATCATGCAGTGCCAGCCAGCTCATTCCCAGTATTATTGGGGGTCCTGCCAGTGTGGCCACGTGAAAGGCAATGGTCTCCGTGTGCCTGGAAACCCTCATTCTCATTGGCGGGGTCTGGTGTGTCACTTCCCCTCCCAGAAGTTCCCTGCCATCGATGGTGGTCACTTGCAAGGGAAAATCTAGGGGTAGCAAGTGTATTTGGTGCTCCAAAGTGAAGTCCCTGCTAAATAAATTGCAGGAGCTGCCCGAATCCAGCAGCCCCTCAACCTTGACTGGGTGCCCATTCGGGAGTTCTAGCACCACTGCTATGGCTATCGCTGCCCTGGGGGGGTCAGGCTGGGGCACTTCTATTGGTTGCTGGCCTGGCTGCTGGCCCCTTTGGTTGGCAGCCAGGCGCTGTCGTTTCCCTGCGCCTGCCCTTCATCTCCCTTCTCCTCACAGCCAGCAGCCTCCACCATCCCTTGCCAGGTCTTTCTTTGAGGGCAGACCCTTGCAAAATGTCCCGGCCGTTGGCAGAGGAAACACTTCTTGGTGGTTTTCCAATCCTTCCCCTCCCTCTTGCGACCTTCACTGGAGTTTGAAACCTCATGCGCGCACGCGCCATCTATTTCCATTGGCTCAGCCGCCTGGGAAAGCTGTCTTGGTATTTCAGGAATGCGGTAGTCATGGTAACATTCCCCTCTCCCTTCGCGTTTCTCCTGAGCCTGCACTTCTTGCCTCACTCCAATCGCAAGCACAGCCTTGGTCAGCTGATCCATCGACTGCGGGCGGGGCGCGCGGGACAGCTCGTCCTTCACCGTTGGGGACAACCCCTCCTCAAACAACATTTGAATAGGTTCAGAGTCCAGATCCCACCCGAGACGGTGGATCAACATTGCAAAGCGCGACCAGTAGTCTCTAACTGACTGGCTCCCTGCTTGCACCCCATCAGTTCTCGCCGAGTCACACTTTGCTGGACTTCACTGGAATACATCGCATCCATCGCCTGAAAGAATTTCTTAAGGTCCTTCAAGGCATGATTTTGCATCGCCATAAGGGGCCTGATCCATTCTCTTGCCCCATCCTGCAGATGCCCCACAATGTATGCCACCCTTTGCTCATCATTAACAAAGTTATCATGCTGCAGTTCCAAAGCGTACTCTATTTCCGTTCGGAACGCGTTGTAGTTCTGGGGCTTCCCCCCAAACTTGTGTACCAGCCCCGGTACCTTCCTTGCGATGGGGGTGGGTCTGACCTGAGCATCCTGAGCCCGTCTTTCATCCAGCCGCGCTGTCAGGAGAGCTACATGCTGTTCCAAATCTCGGTTTCTCTCCACCAGACCTTGCACTGCAGCTGCTTGCTCCGTCTCTCCGGCTCCTCCGGTCTGGCTCATGGTGCTGCCTCTCTGGAGCTACGCAGAAGCAACGTCGGTGACTGACGGATTGCTGTAGTGGGTTTAGGGGTTGCTAGTGCGTAAGTTGCCGCCACTCCTGGCTAGGTTACCTGGTTAACCCTTTCTGACTGAACAGCCTCCGGCATCGTGACTGTCTCAGTCGCTGGCAGAATCCGTCAGTGGGCGTTTCTTGAACCTTTTCCAGCATAAAAGTTGTTTGACACTCCCTGCGCGGAAGTCTTCTGCGCAGGGAGGGTGTGGGCAGTGGAGTACCCGTACTCTCTCCACTGGTCTCCGGCGAGGAGTCTTGGAGCCTCCTCCCCGATTCCCCCATCTGCCCCCCTTCTCTACTGGTGTTACGCTGATTTCCTTCCCCAGCAGACGGGCTCTCTCTCTCCCTACTGGGACCCTCTCCGCCATCCCTTTGGAGCCTTCCCTCCGCTTCCAGCTCCGATGGCAGTTCCCTGACAAGAAGCACACCAAGGAAAGTTTAAGGCAGCTTTTTTCTGTCAAACAGAACAACAGCTGCTGGGGAACCCACAAAGTGGAGTCCACCCACCCAAAGAAAACACAAGTTTTCTATAGGCTCTAACTTTCGAACTACAATATCCAAGTCACGTATACAACGGTGGTCTTATTGGGAGGAACAGTGAAAGTCTAGGAGGCTCATTTATCAGTGTTGGCACTTTTCTTTACAACACCTTCACAGACCATCCTGTAGTTCCCCTTTACAACTTCTTTTTTACAACTCTCTTTTACTGTGTTTTTTTAAAACAGCTTTTAACATACATACAGATGTTTTCCCACTACAGGCTTCTCCCCTTTGATGCCTCCCCTTAGTGTCACTGCTCAGTCTTCATGAGCTCTTCCGGACCCTCCCTCCATCTCCATGCTTGTGAACATTTCCATCTCATTTACACCTTTGCTGATACTTGTATTTGCTCTAGAAAACACAGACAGCAATCTTAATAATAATATCAATATACATTATGCCAATAATTATTAGGCCTAGGATTATATAGTGGAAGATAAAAAGGTAAAGGTAAAGGATCCCTGACACTTAAGTCCAGTCACAGATGACTCTGGGGTTGCGGCACTCATCTCGCTTTACAGGCCGAGGGAGCCGGCATTTGTCCCCAGTTTTTCCAGGTCATGTGGCCAAGCATGACTAAACCGCTTCTGGCGCAACAAAACACCGAAACCAGAACAGCGCACGGAAACACCGTTTACCTTCCCGCCAGAGCAGTACCTATTTATCTACTTACACTTTTTGGCATGCTTTCGAATTGCTAGGTTGGCAGGAGCTGAGACCGAGCAACGGGAGCTCACCCTGTCACGGGGATTCAAACCGCCGACCTTCTGATCGGCAAGCCCAAGAGGCTCAGTGGTTTAGACCACAGCACCACCCTCATCCCTTGCATAGTGGAAGATAGTGTCCCCTAAAGTCCTTAGAGGTCCTGTAAGCCAGCCCCAGGGATCTCATGTGAAGCCCTTAGCCTGGACCTGCCTTTTCAATATTTTCTACATTCTGTTCTATTTCTCTGGTGGTGTCATTAACAAGTAGAGCCTATTAAAGCACATAGCCCTTCTTTTGTTGCAAACATATAATCAGCAGCTATGCGGTTTTGCAAGGGAAGTTTCCAAAGCTGTCCCAGCTCTTCTGCAAGGGCTGTTAATTAACAACCTGGCTTAATTTTTTGCCAATACCTCCAAACTTCAAGATAACTTGAGACTGTCCATATGATTTACTCCTGCCCAATAGAAGGGAAATGCCTCCCTTAAGACAGTCTTCCCTGTTTCCTGGCAACTTAGTGATAGTTCTTCCAGCTGGGCTTGCATAAGCCAGTGAACAGCCTTAGGAAAAACACTGTACACCCCTCTTTAGGGGTCATGGGTGGGTATTCTCTTTTCCTGAACTCTTCTTGCCAGTTTCACATCCATATGGGTGAAAGTAGGGGGACCAAAGTGGGATAGTCCTGATTTAGCATTTAAAGTCTTGGCCAAGTAGGTACAATTGGGCTTGGAAGTGTCATGATGCAGACCTGGCTTAAAGATACCTTCTGCACTGCATCTATGTGAAAATGCTCTCTGAAATATACTCGGATAGAAACTCTATCTCCTTTTTCAAACCCTTGGGCCCTGATGTTAGGTTTCTGTTATGCCACTGTGCAGTTCTTGGAGTCACAAGGCTCTACTGACATTCCGGTCTGTTGGAAGTCTTACGGGAGACGGATGTTGATGTTACTGGTTTCCTGTTTCTTTGTTCAGTTGTTTTCTGTCTCTCACAGAGAGCAGATGCATATTCTTTTCTGTCTTACGTAGTTAGAAATAAAGTAGCAATGTAGCACATATTTCTGGCTCCTTCTGCTGCTATCTGAGTACTCTACACAATGGAGAGAGTGCCTGAAGTCTCATTCAAAGGCTTAGGTCGTTAATCACCATCGGAGGAGAGCCTGGATGGGTTCCGAAGATATGGCCAGAGGAGTAGCCATCACAGCTTGGTCGTACGGAATATCCAACACCTACAAGGGGCTTCCACTTGGTCAGTCAGTGGTACTAGTGTCAGCTGCAATGAAGCCAATATGTCATTGTGGCAACATTCCCACATAGTCTCTGGTTCTGTAGTTCTCTTAGGAGTGAAAACATAACAGAGATTGGGGTCAATAAAGGAATGGGTATCATTGCAGACTAATGTAATGGCATCTTTCATTTCTCCCTTTCCTAAGTGTTGTGTTGTGAACATCTGGTTTACCTCTGTACAAAATGGGAACCTCCAAGTGGGTTTTACCAGCATTACCCATGGTGTCAGTGAAGAAGCAAAGAAAAAGAAAAAAGACTTAATGTTCCATCCCAATTTTTGGACAGTAGTGTTAGTGGAAACCATCAGGGGTGGTTTGCACCACTGCTCAAACTCAGCAGGGACTGTGATGATAGGTAATCCTGACTCGGTGTCTAGAGCAGAGGTTTTCAACCTTTTGGGGTCCACGGCTCCCTTGACCAACTACTTTCTTTCTGCGGCACCCCTGTGGGGCTCAGGAGCCCAGTTAGGTCACCCCTTGTCTGCAGACCTGGCAGCCTCTCACCCTTTTTCAAACACCCTCCCTTGTGGAGTGTTCCCTTAGCTTCCTCTCCTCTCCCCTCTCCTTGAAAGTCTTTTGGTCAGCAGCTGCTGCTGCCCCTGGTCTCTGAGCTGCCCTCCCTGCCTCAAAGAGAGGTGTCTCGTTCCACTGCCCCACAGGGGCCTGGGAAGCACCCCCTGGCCAGCCCCAGAGGCACCATTCGCCTGGGGAACTTCTAGCCAGGGCTGCTGCAACAAAGAGCTGTGCAACCTTTGGGAGGCAGAGAAGCGAGAGGGCATCAGAAGAAGGGAGGGAAGGAAAGAGGGACAGTGGCCATTGCGGCCCGCAGCACCCCTGATTATCATTCAAGTCCCTCCAGGGTGCCACGGCACACTGGTTGAAAACCACTGGTCTAGAGGACCATGGGTGAAAATCCAACAATCAGTTTTATTGAAGGAGGCTGCCACTTTCTTAGAGTGTGCCAATAGTTTTTAATGTTTGTTTATTGTTATTTCCCAACAGTGAATGAGAGTGGACACTGATGTCTGAGCTGAACCAGTTTAGCCAAATCAAGCTGTTACATGAAGTGCTGAATTGGTGTCCCAGCAAGATATTTTTGTTGGTACACAGGTCTGATTTAGCTAAAAAGTTTTTATTCCTCACCCTCTCACCTGTCAGGAATTAGATGTATGTTAGAGGTATGTGAAAAAAAGGAACTTATGCAACAAATACGTTCTGAAAATGCTCTGTGATGCTGTAGTTTTGGACTAGCATTTTCCCAGTACAGTGGTACCTCTGGTTACATACGCTTCAGGTTACATACACTTCAGGTTACAGACTCCGCTAACCCAGAAATATTACCTCTGGTTAAGAACTTTGCTTCAGGATGAGAACAGAAATCGTGCAGCAGAAGTGCAGTGGCAGCAGGAGACCCCATTAGCTAAAGTGGTGCTTCAGGTTAAGAACAGTGTCAGTTAAGAACAGACATCCAAAACTAATTAAGTTCTTAACCCGAGGTACCACTGTATGTTAATCTAGCTACTACTTCAAGAACACTTTACATTTCTCATGCTACTTTAGATCTCAACTACAAAGGTGCTGCACTCATTTCACACGCTAGCAAGGTTATGCTTAAAATTCTACAAGGCAGACATAAGCAGTATGTGGACCGAGAACTCCCAGAAGTGCAAGCTGGATTTCGAAGGGGCAGAGGAACCAGAGACCAAATTGCAAACATGCGCTGGATTGTGGAGAAAGCTAGAGTTCCAGAAAGACATCTACTTCTGCTTCATTGACTATGCAAAAGCCTTTGACTCTGTTTACCACAGCAAACTATGGCAAGTTCTTAAAGAAATGGGAGTGCCTGATCACCTCATCTGTCTCCTGAGAAATCTCTACATGGGACAAGAAGCTACAGTTAGAACTGGATATGGAACAACTGATTGGTTCAAAATTGGGAAAGGAGTACGACAAGGCTGTATATTGTCTCCCTGCTTATTTAACTTATATGCAGAGTTCATCATGCGAAAGGCTGGGCTGGATGAATCCCAAGCCGGAATTAAGATTGCCGGAAGAAATATCAACAACCTCAGATATGCAGATGACACAACCTTGATGGCACAAAGTGAGGAGGAATTAAAGAACCCTTTAATGAGGGTGAAAGAGGAGAGCGCAAAATATGGTCTGAAGCTGAACATCAAAAAAACGAAGATCATGGCCACTGGTCCCATCACCTCCTGGCAAATAGAAGGGGAAGAAATGGAGGCAGTGAGAGATTTTACTTTCTTGGGCTCCATGATCACTGCAGATGGTGACAGCAGTCACGAAATTAAAAGACACCTGCTTCTTGGGAGAAAAGCAATGACAAACCTAGACAGCATCTTAAAAAGCAGAGACATCACCTTGCCAACAAAGATCCATATAGGTTTTTAAAAAAAATATATATTTTATTATTTTTCAACACAAATATACAATCTTATACAAATTTTCACAAATTTAACTCTGTTTGGACTTCCTTCAGCTTCTCTGACAATCATCCGTATTTACCTCTCAATTACGCATTTCTTCTGTTTTTTATTGCCATTAGTCTTCCCTCCCACCATCTATTTCTTTTTAACAATATATCTCAACTTTCACAGTGCTTCTTTAAAACCCACTAGCGTTGTTTGCACATCACATGTACTTTTCAGATATTCAACAAATTTTCCCCAGTCCTCGATGAACTTTTGGTCTCGAAGATATCTGATTTTCCCTGTTAGTTTATCCAGTTCTGCATAATCTGTTAGTTTCATTCTCCATTCTTCTATCGTCGGTATTTCCTCTTGTTTCCATTTCTGGGCCAGTAGAATTCTTGCTGCTGTAACTGCGTATTGGAAGAGTTTGCAGTCCTTTCTTCTTATTTCCTTTCTTGTAATCCCTAAAAGAAAGGCCTCTGGTTTCTTTACAAATGTATATTTTAACATCTTTTTCATTTCATTATACATCATCTCCCAGAAACCCTTCACTTTCTTACAGTCCCACCACATGTGATAAAACGTTCCTTCTTTTTCTTTACATTTCCAACACTTATTACATGTCTTATACATTTTTGCTAATTTTACCGGTGTGATGTACCATCTATAAAACATTTTCATAACATTTTCCTTTAACGCCATACAAGCAGTAAATCTTAGATTTTCCTTCCATAATTTTTCCCAATCATCAAATTGTATATTATAACCAAAATCTCTGGCCCATTGTATCATTACCGATTTAACTTCCTCATCTTTCATGTGCCATTCCAACAATATCTTATATATTTTTGACAGAGTTTTACAATCATTGTTTATTATATCTGTTTGAAACTTTGAGTCTTTTTCTGCATAACCACTTTCTTTAATATCTTTTTTAAACATTTCATTAACCTGAAAATAATGCAACCAATCATAAACATGTTCTCTAACTTGTTCATATGGTTTTAATTTCCATTTTCCTCCTTCTTTAATTATCAATTCACCATATGTGATCCATTTACCTCTCATATTTATTTTCTTCACACTCATAACCTCTAACGGATACAACCAGTGTGGAACTCTTGGTTCTAGTAGGTTTTTATACCTATCCCATATTTCTATTAATGAACTCCGGAATATGTGGTTCCCAAACCCTTTGTGAATTTTCTTCTTCTCACACCATAGATACGCGTGCCATCCAAATCTGTTATCAAAACCTTCCAAATCTAATAACTCCTTGTTTTCTAATTTTATCCATTCTTTCAACCAACAGAGACCGGCTGCTTTGTAGTATAGTTTCAGATCTGGCAGGGCGAAGCCTCCTCTTTCCTTGACATCCGTTAATAACTTAAATTTAATTCTCGGCTTTTTGCCCTGCCAGATATACCTTGAAATCATTCTTTGCCACTCTGTAAAGATTGCTACCCCCTTTATTATGGGGATAGTCTGAAACAAAAATAACATCTTAGGAAGGACGCTCATCGAAGAAATTCTACCCCAAAAAGATAGTTTCATTCTACCCCACACCTTCAGATCTTTCCTTATTCCATTCCAGACCAGTGTATAATTGTTCTGAAACAAATCAATGTTTTTAGGAGTTAGCCAAATTCCTAAATATTTTACCTTTTTCACCACCTCTATCTCTGTTCTTTGTTGCATTATTTCTATCATACTTTGATCCATATTTTTTGCAATTATTTTAGTTTGCTTCTTGTTTAATCTGAACCCTGCCACATTTCCAAATTGCTCGATCTCCTTCAATACTTCTTTTACACTTTCTATTGGTTCTTCAATCGTTATTACCAGATCATCCGCAAAGGCTTTCACTTTATATTCATTCTGGCCAACTGTCACCCCTTTTATTAAATCATTTTGTCTGATCGCCCTTAGAAAAACCTCCAGGACCGTTATAAATAACAATGGTGAAAGTGGACATCCCTGTCTAGTTCCTTTTGTTATTTTTATATCCTCCGTAGTCACATTGTTAACAATCAACTTAGCTTTCTGCTCTGTATAAATTTCTTTTATCCCATTAAAGAACTCTTTCCCCACATCCATATACTCCAAATTCTTCAACATAAAATCCCATGCAATATTATCAAAGGCCTTTTCTGCATCCACAAACATTAATATAGCTTGTTTTTCATTCCTGGCAGTCAGGTATTCCAAAAAGTTAATTATATTTCTTATGTTATCTTTCATCTGTCTGCCTGGAAGGAAACCCGCTTGATCTTTATGAATAATTTCTTGTGATATCTTTTTCATTCTATTCGCTAAAATCCCTGCAAATATTTTATAATCTGTATTCAACAATGAAATAGGCCTATAATTTTTAACTTGTGTTAAATCCGAGTCCTGTTTGGGGATAAATGTAATGAATGCTTCTTTCCACGTTTCCGGAATGTCTCTTTCTTTTAAAATATTATTCATGACTTCTTTCAGTGGTATCATCAGAACATCTCTCAGTTCTTTATAGTAGCCTGATGTAAATCCATCAGGTCCTGGGGCCTTCCCCCTCTTCAATTCCTTTATTACCTCTTTTATCTCCTCACTACTTATTGGGGCATTCAGTTGGCTTTTTTTTCCTGCTGGGATCTTCTGCACCTTTTTTTCTTTCAAGAATCGCTCTATTTTCCTCATATTATTCCTTTCTCTGTTTTTGTATAATTGTCTATAAAAGTCCAGGAATCCTTTTCTGATTCCTTTCGGATTGTCAATCTCTTCACCATTCACAGTAATTTTATTAATTGTATTCTGCTCCTTTCTTTTTTTGATTTGCCACGCAAGCCATTTACCTGATTTGTTCGCGAATTCAAAGTTTTTGTCTTATCTTTTTAATGTTCAATTCTACTTCTTTATTTATTATCATTGCAAATTGCATTTGCAAAGTCTTAATTTCTTGTTTTATTTTTGAGTTATTTGGTTTTTAGATCAATTTTTGTTCATTGTCCATTATCTGCTTTAAAATTTCTTTTTTCCCTTTTTCTCTGTTCTTATTCTTCAATGAATTCTGCTGAATAAAAAAACCTCTCATCACTGCCTTGCTTGCGTCCCAAACTACGCTCATCTTTGTACCTTTGTTACTGTTATCCACAAAATAATTTCTTTTGTGCTTTTTCTGCATAGATCCCGACAATTATCAAACTTTCCCCTTGCCATTTGATCCGGACTGCTATAATCCTTCCTTCTTCATCTCTGAAGATTTGTTGTGATTCAATTTTGCTTTTAATGTATAGAACAACCCCTCTTTTTTTCTTTTTTTTTTTAATATAATATTTATTGGTTTTACAAAAATTCCAAAACATACAAAAATACAAAAATTCCAAAGACAAAAAACAACAATAACAGTGACAAAAGGAAAACAAAAAATAACAATAACCATAAAAAAGAAAAGAAAAAGAGAAAAGAAACAGAAAAATTTAAAAATTTATACTTTCCTTTAACCTTCTTATCTTTCCTTAGTTCTTTGACTTCCCCGCACCTCCCCACTTGTATTTCCATTTAGAGACTCCTTTCAGCAAATCCTTACCCTCCTTCCTTTATCTTAACTCAAGAAACTTAATCTATTTATAAATAGATATTTTTGCAACCTTATCAATCAAATATTCCATACTCTTAAACGCAAGACTTTTGCCAATACCAGCTATTTTCAATCAGACCTCAATTTAACATTCATTAATTTTATAGTATTTCTGTAGATAGTCTTTAAATTTCTTCCAATCTTCTTCCACCGACTCTTCTCCCTGGTCACGGATTCTGCCAGTCATTTCCGCCAATTCCATATAATCGATTACCTTCATCTGCCATTCTTCCAGAGTGGGTAAGTCTTGTGTCTTCCAATACTTTGCGATAAGTATCCTTGCTGCTGCTGTTGCATACATAAAGAAAGTTCTATCTTTCTTTGGCACCAATTGGCCAACAATGCCCAGGAGAAAGGCCTCTGGTTTCTTTAAGAAGGTATACTTAAATACCTTTTTCAACTCATTATATATCCTTTCCCAGAAGGCCTTAATCTTTGGGCACGTCCACCAAAGGTGAAAGAATGTACCTTCAGTTTCATTACATTTCCAACATTTATTATCGGGCAAATGGTAGATTTTTGCAAGCTTGACTGGGGTCATGTACCACCTGTACACCATTTTCATTATATTCTCTTTTAAAGCATTACATGCTGTAAACTTCGTACCTGTGGTCCATAACCATTCCCAGTCAGCAAACATAATGTTGTGTCCAACATCCTGTGCCCATTTAATCATAGCAGATTTTACCGTTTCATCCTGAGTATTCCATTTTAGCAGCAAGTTATACATTCTTGAAAGTGTTTTAGTTTTGGGATCTAGCAGTTCTGTTTCCAACTTTGATTTTTCCACCTGGAAGCCAATTTTTCTATCCAAATTATAGACCTCTCTTATTTGGTAATAATGCAACCAGTCTCGCACTCTATCTTTTAGTTTTTCAAAGCTCTGCAATTTGAATTTATCTCCTTCTTGTTCCAAGATCTCCCAATATTTTGGCCACTTGGCCTCCATATTGGACTTTTTCAGGGCCTTTGCCTCCATTGGTGATAGCCACCTTGGGGTTTTATTCTCCAATAAGTCTTTATATCTTATCCAGACATTGAACAATGCTTTCCTGACAATATGGTTTTTAAATATTTTGTGAGCTTTAACCTTGTCATACCACAAATATGCATGCCACCCAAACACATTATTGAAACCTTCTAAGTCCAAAACATCAGTATTTTCCAGAAGTAACTAATCCTTCAACCAGCAGAAAGCTGCTGATTCATAATAAAGTTTAAAGTCTGGCAGGGCAAATCCCCTCTTTCATTAGCATCAGTCAATATTTTAAGTTTTATCCTGGGCCTCTTGCCCTGCCAGACAAACTTAGAGATATCTCTCTGCCACTTCTTAAAACAATCCATTTTATCTATTATTTGTATCGATTGAAACAAAAACAGCATTCTTGGCAATACATTCATCTTGATGACAGCAATTCGACCTAACAAGGAAAGCTTCAAATTTGTCCATATTTCTAAATCCTTTTTAATGTCCGACCAACACTTTTCATAATTGTCTTTAAATAAATTCCCATTTTTAGCTGTCATATGAATCCCCAAGTATTTCACTTTTTTACCACTGTTAAACCTGTCTCATTCTGAAACCTCTCTTTTCAATCGGTGTTAAATTCTTCTCAAGTACTTTAGTTTTAAACTTATTCAGCTTAAAACCTGCCACCTGACCAAACTCTTGAATCAGTTCTAGTGCTCTTTTCGTACTAGATTCTGGCTCCTGTAATGTCAATACAAGGTCATCCGCAAATGCTTTCAATTTGTATTGTTTCGCTCCGACCGTTATACCCTTCTCCATTCTCACGGCGTTATGGTCGGAGCATGTTTTTGGGCAGATCTCTACCTTCCTAACCTTAGGTGCCAGTCCTCTAGTAGTCCAGATTTGGTCAATTCTTGTCCATGTCTTTTGGGCTTCAGAAAAAAAGGTTCCTTCTCTACCAAGGGATTCCTAGTTCTCCAAATATCAATTAGATCCATATTGTCAGTTAATTCAAAGAATGTTTTCGGTAGTCTGCCATCTTTAGTGACTACCTCTCTTTGTGACTTGTCCATATTTGTGGAAACCACCCCATTCATATCTCCCATAAAAACAGTGTTGTAATCCATATAGTCCATCAAGATCTCATGCAACTTTTTGTAGAATATAGATTTCCACATTTGGTGCATATAAGCCTACTATCAAAAATTTTTCTCCTTGTACTTGGATTTCAATTGCTATGAATCTTCCTTGTTCATCCTTAAAGACGAATTTTGGTGAGAGGCTCTCCTTTGCGTAAATGACCACTCCTCGTTTTTTAACTTTATCTGATGAAATAAATTCTTGGCCCAATCTCTTATTAATCAATATCTTCCTGTGGAGCCTCGTCACATGAGTTTCCTGTAAGCAAATTAAATCCAATTGTTCTTTTTAAGTATATGAAATACTTTCCTCCTTTTTTCCGGAGAATTTAGGCCACAAACATTCCAAGTTAAAAGTTGCAGAGCCATGATGATTTCTTTATTTTCCTCCAACTGCTCCCAATAACTCTTCTTCCTCTGTTGGTGGTTTCACCTTCTCTGTCTTATCCTCGCCCGAAGGTGGTAATGTAGGGTCCAATCCTGGTAAAGGGGCTTCTGGCTCCTCCCCCAATCCTTTTTGTAGGTCCTCTTGATGGTCTCTCAAAAAGTTCTGTTTCTCCTCCACAGATTTTATTTTAATTTTCTTGCCTTTAAAACTGAAAGATAGGCCTTGAGGAAATTCCCACCTGAAAAAAATTCTGTTTCCTCTCAGCAGCGTCACCAGGTCCCGGTAGTTGGACCTAAGCTCCAAAAGGAACTTTGGAATGTCTTTAAATATTTCTATCCTTGAGTCTTGTATTATCAATGTATTTTGGTAGTGTGAACTCAAAATTTTATCTCGTTCCTCCTTAGATCGCAAGGTAATCAGGCAGTCTCTCACTCTGTTCTTTCTTGCTCCTCTTCCAAGCCTGAAAGCAGACGTTATCTTGAAATCTTCCTTATCGTTCAATTGCCAAAAATTGGCAAATTCTTGTGTCAAAAAGTCTACCAGGCTCTCTTTCTCAAGCTCAGGTACTGCTCTGATCCTTAAGTTGGTCTGTTTCTCCTTTAGCTCAAGGACAGATAGCAATTCCTGGTGCGTTCCCAATCTTATGTGGTGCTCTTCAACTTGTTTAATTAAAGGTGGTAATTTTCCTTCAGCAGCTACCGCCTTTTCTCTAGCTTCCAAAGCTGTTTTTTGGGTTTCAGCAGATTGTTCCAGTAATTTTTTGATCACATCTGTATTTTCATTAGTCTGTCGAGTCAGCTTATCAATACTTGCAGAATTTTGTCTAATAGCTTCTAGTGCCTCGGCATTCTGTTGCCCCAATTTTTCAAAACCTTCATTCACAATTTTAAATAAACTGGCAAATCCTTCTTCCCCCTTTGTTTGCATTGGATCATCTCCTTGTGGCCCAGCGATGGATGGCCTGCGCTGTTGCTGTTGAGCAATGTTGCTCTGTTGCCTGCCTTTCCCGGACCTCAAGGTTCTTTCATCCATGGCACTTTATCTAGAAATCAAGGTCACTCTCACAGTTGAAGTTGTTTTGCTGTTAAGCTTCCCAGGCTGCTGTTGAGTGGAAAATTCCTCAATCAATTAAAGACTTTTTCCCCTTTGGCCTCCAGGGGGACACAAGTAATAAAGTATCAAGAATAAAAACTCTTAAAAACTTTTTAAGAACCCCTTCAGCCAAAGAGGCAACTTTTTTCCCCAAAGTTTCAATTTTGTAAAGTTAATAGGCAAGAAGATACATTGTCCATTTAGAGTGCTAACAAAATATCCAATCTTTCCAAACCTGGCAGTCTGTCCCCAGGGATTGAGAGGTGGTCTTCGTTTCCTTATTACTCTTTATTTTACACAAAATTAACAAGAAATACTGTCTCTTCTTCCCCCCCTTCTCCAATTATGGGAGGGAAAATTTTTAAATTTGACGTCTGTGTTTCAGTCTCTTTTGACAGTCTTTGGTATCGAACTCACACAGTCTTTGCTTTAATCCTTTATACAAACTTCCTTTTTACACCTTCCCGCTTCAGCCAAATTTATTCAAGAATTTTAGTTGGTCCTTCTGTAACGTCAAACCTACTCACGGGTTGTAGTTTTGACAGCCGAATTGTCAAGGAAGAAAGGTCAGCGCTCTCCAGCAACAGCCGCACGGCTTCACTCCGCGAAAGTAGCAGACGACTCACAGTGCCGCGCTACCCCGTCCTGCTCGGAGCCCTCGCGGGGTTCCTTTGCCGCTTAGGGGCGCGCTCCAGGCACCCGCCGAGTCCCACGACCGCAGGCTTCCTCCGCCTGCGGGTTTCAAAAGGGTCTCCGCTGCGCCGTAGCGGATCGACCCGATTTTCGCGGAGCCTCTCCTCCGAAGTTAGGGGGAGATCGCCATTGCTTGTTGGCGCCGCCTCCGGAAGTCTCCCAACCCCTCTTTTTTTCTCTTTGTCTGAAGATACAAATTCATTTCCTAGTCTTCTGTTGATCAAGATTTTCCTATGTTTCCTTGCGACGTGTGTCTCTTGTAAACATATAATGTCCAGATTTTTCTTTTTAAAAAATTGTTCAATTTTATTCCGTTTTTTTCTCATTCATCCCATTAATATTCCAATTCCATAATTTTAATGCCATGATAATTTCCAATTAAATAATTTTATTTTATTTTTTACTTTTTTATAATCTATCTGTCTCTTCTCCTTCCTCTTCTTCTTCATCTTCTGCCTTTTTTCCATTCTCTTCTTCTTCTTCCCTCGATTCTGATTCTTCCTTGGCTCCTGCTCCTTTTTCTGCTCCTTTGATTTCTCCCTCTTCTCCATCTTCTGCTTTTAAATCCTTATACCTTCTCAGAAACTTCCCTGTTTCTTCTGGACTCATCAACCTGTGCTTTTTACTTTTGTAGAAAAATGAAATTCCCTCTGGAAATTCCCATTTGAAATCAATGTTGTTTTTCTTTAAAATCTGCACCAATGGCTTATATGGGTCTCTTCATTTCAACAATCTTATTGGTATGTCTTTAAAAATGATTATGTAATTTCCTTCTATGTATAATCTTTTCTCTCTATTCTTCTGTAATATCAAATTTCTCATTTCCCTGTCCTTAAAAGTAATTAAACAGTCTCCTGGAAATTTTCTTGCCTTGGTTGTTCTTACTCTCATTCTGAATGCATTTTGTACTGTTTTTGCTACCTCCTCTACTGGTAATTCCATCCATTTAGCCAATTCTGATATCAGTCTCTCTTTAATATTTTCATTCTGTATCTCCGGGACGGCTCTCAGCCTCAGGTTCACTTCCCTCTGTCTCAGTTCATTCATAGCAATCACATCTTTAATTTCTTCTTGTGATTTATTTAATTCCAACATCTCCACTTTAATCTTCTCTTCCTCTCGCCTCACTTCTTTCATTTCTTGTTTCATCCTCTTCAGCCCTTCCTCTACTGATTGTGTTCTCTTGGATACCTCTTTTATTTGCCCTTTAAGTTCATTAACTGTCTCATCAATTTTTTAATCCATTTTCCCAATCTTATTGTCAACTGATTCTAACTTAGATTCTAAGTTCTTTTCACTTTGCTTAATTTCAGAAAACATCTTCAAAATTTCTGCTTTGAAATCTGCCTCTTGTTTAGACCCTTTCCTCTCTGCTGATGTCCCCCCATCCGCCCCTTTCTTCTGCTGATGTGTCATCTTCAAATTTTTATATTTTGTCAATTTGGTGAGGGGTGAATGATCAAAACAGAAGCCTGAACAAAGCAAAATAAATCTTCTTGCCACCAATTAGGCTATTCCACCAAATAAGTTGGTCAAAACAAAAACCGGAGCAAAGCAGTATAAATCTTCTTGCCACCAATTAGGCTATCTCCAAATAAGTTGGTTTTCTGGAAAAAAGCATCCTTAAATTTTGTGTTCCAAATATGTTCCAATGTGAGCCACCAAAAGGGAAAAACTTCTCACCAAATTAATCCAAGATTACCTCTTGAAGGGAAGAGTAACTTAAGATCAAATTAATCCCGCCGTCCACCACCAAACCAAGTGTTATAGATATAAGAAGAAAATAAAAATATCAACATAAACTCCAAGGAAAAAAGAGTTCCAAAAAAAGAAAAAAACCCTTTTCCAAAGTTATATCCAGTTATCAGCACTTTCCAAAATTATATCCAAATAACCAGGTTCCAGAGGTGAAGTTCACAAAAAAAAAAAAAAAAAACCGATGAAAAAATAAGCACAGGTCACTTTCCAGTACTAAAGAGGCACAAGTCACTTTCAAATGTTATATCTCTCGCCAAAAATCGCGAAAAACAAGTTGTAATATCTCATTCCTTCCACTAGGGTAAAAAAACCCCCACTATAGTATACGTAATTTGCAAGTTTAAAGATTCCCAATTCATAAAAAAAAGAAAAAGAGCCTTCCCAATTACAAATGATAATATGCTTAAGTGACAGAGGCAACTAAATTCTTTTTTAGCAGTAAAGACACACAAAAAAATCTAAAAGACGTTTGTCCACTATTTCCACAGTACCGCAGTTCCAACAAAGTCTTAACAATGGAGTCAGAAGCTCCCTTTCCGTTCCGCAGCTCTTTGTTCTTTTAAAAGTGAAAGTAGCTAAGCACTTCAATCCTCTGATTTTCCCCTTCGTTACATCAAAGACCTCAAATTATCCAAAATCGTAACTTTCTGCTCTCCCTTTTAGCTTTAATAGTCCCTTAATACTTGTAACTTCTTAAAAAGCTACTTTTTAAAAGAGTTCATGGAGAGAAAAGAAACAATAACTGCTAGCGGCAACTCACTTTCCTTTTCCAGCTCTGCGTGCTGCGTTGCGTCTGAACTGATTCCAGATGACAGCTGAACTCCGCGCTTTTTGCTTTGTACTTCGAATCCTTCCTTAATTTATTGCCATCAAATTTGTAATCCAATTTGGTCCGAATTTCTTCTGTTTGAGAATGAGACGCTCCTCTTGCAAGCTCGGGGCTTCGCTATAGAAAATGGCTTCCCTTAGCCCGCTGCCCCACTCGGCCGTTCTCTTCGCCCCTTTTTGGGGTTACCTGATGGCCGGGCGGGCTGCTCCTGGCTTCGCTGGGAACCTGTTACTCTGGATATCCCCCCAGAGATTAAAATTGGGGGCTACTGCGCCCTGTAGTGCCCCTTTTTATCCAAAATAGCACAGGATTCTCCTCACAGTAAAATCCCCACTTGCGGCAGATTCGCGCTCCACCGGAAGGTCCATATAGTTAAAGCTATGGTTTTCCCAGTAGTGATGTATGGAAGTGAGAGCTGGACCATAAATAAGGCTGATCGCCGAAGAATTTATGCTTTTGAATTATGGTGCTGGAGGAGACTCTTGAGAGTCCCATGGACTGCAAGAAGATCAAACCTATCCATTCTGAAGGAAATCAGCCCTGAGTGCTCACTGGAAGAACAGATCCTGAAGCTGAGGCTCCAATACTATGGCCACCTCATGAGAAGAGAAGACTCCCTGGGAAAGACCCTGATGCTGGGAAAGATGGAGGGCACAAGGAGAAGGGGACAACAGAGGACGAGATGGTTGGACAGTGTTCTCGAAGCTACCAGCATGAATTTGACCAAACTGCGGGAGGCAGTGGAAGACAGGAGTGCCTGGCGTGCTCTGGTCCATGGGGTCACAAAGAGTCAGACATGACCAAACGACTAAACAACAACAATAAAGGTGCTGTATGATTTTCAGACAGCCTGGCTCTGCAAAACTTTCATAGTAGCCAAGTGAAATATTTTTAGGCATTCCACTTGAGATTCATGACAGCCCAGGTGAGCATTGCTGTTTGCCAGCCAAGAAACAGTTGGTTTATAAATATAAAGGGCCATGATTGATGCATTGTAGTATTTCATTCCCCGCTCCTTGAATATTTTGATGAAGATGAAATGAAATTGTGTTTCTCTTCATTTTAGCCAGATGTTTGTTCTCTCTCTCCCTCCTCTCTCTCCCCCCCCCCTTCTTCTCAGTTCTGGTTTCTCTTTGATATTATTGCATATGGTGGTAACTTGTGTGTAACTTGAATCACTTTGTTTCTAGAGCAAGGAAAGAGGGATAGGTGGAAGGGACTTGCAGGGTATTTTCATGGTTTATTTCCAAGAAGCAATTAGTGGTATTTAGTAGAATTTATTTCATTTAAAAACCCTTTCTGGCTCATCTTTCCACTATATCAATCTCAGCCAGCGCTAGTCCCCAGAAATAACAAGAGATGGGCTTCGGCATCACAAACAACCTCAGCATTGCTTTTTTCTGAATGTGAAATAAGTGAAAAACCACTGTGATACAACTTGTACCCAGCTTGCTTTCTGAGGTCAGTGAGTAATCGGAATAAAGAACAACAAAATATTAAAATGCAAAAGACCTTTGCTTGATTTCTAATGGAAGCATAATGTGTGCATAACACACATGAAAAAAAATGACCTGGGGTTTTCCCCGAGGGCTACTGCAAAGGTCATCTTCTCCTTTCCTTTTTCTTGCTTCCACACCCACTCTCACTGAATAAGTGTTGGTTGCATGGAAAGGGAAAGGATTTGCGGGACTGAGGGTTGGATTCTGAGGTGGGTGGGCACGGGGAGCATAGAAAGCAGAGTCAGACCATGGACTACACCAGGGGTCAGCAAACTTTTTCAAATTTTTCCCTCAGACCTTGTGGGGGGCCGGACTATATTATGGGGGGGGGGGGATGAATGAATTCCTATGCCCCACAATTAACCCAGAGATGCATTTTAAATAAAAGCACACATTCTACTCATGTAAAAACACTAGGGAGGCCCCACAAATAACCGAGAGATGCATTTTAAATAAAAGGACACATTCTACTCATGTAAAAATACACTGATTCCTGGACCATCCATGGGCCGGATTGAGAAGACAATTGGACCGCATCCGGCCCCCAGGCCTTAGTTTGACTACCCATGGACTGTCAGGATCTCTGCTCGGCCAAGCTGATAAAGCTCGTTTTCCTCCAGCCGAGTCCTCCGACGATAATTAACGACCTGAGCCTTTGATGAGGCCTCAGGCACATTCCCATTCAGCAGAGAATCAAAGCAGCACACGGAAGTGATGAGATTTATGGCTACATGGCTAAAGAGTTTTATGTCTCACTACGCAGACAGCAAAGAAAAATACATCCTCTCTCTATGAAAGCAGAGAGCAACTGCAAAGCAAAGGAACAGGAAACCACTAACGTCACATCCGTCTCCTGTCTCCCGTGAGACTTCCAACAGTATGGAATCCCAGGAATGTAAACAGAGTCTTGTGACTCCAAAGCACTGCTCAGTGGCAAACAGAAACTAACATCCTCCCCTTTCTGTGAACACCACTGGGCAGTGTGTCATGTACAATCTCAGTACAAACCCAATTTCTGTACATAGGTACAGTGTTGATCCTTTGGAACAACCTTGGACAATAAATCAGCAGGAATTTCATTACCTGGCATGTAGGACACTGTTACGAGTCCTTTCTGAACACATTCCCCCCTCGGCTCTTTGGCAGCTTCCAATTCCCTGACATCCACCCCCTCCTCAAAGGCCCCCTCCCGTTCGGGAGACTCGACCGTCCCCATTTCTCCCTTCTCCGGGGTGGCGGGGGTGAAACCTAGAAAACTCCCCTCCTCCTCATCCGTATCTTCGAAAACCTCCCTCCAATCCTCCCTCAAACCCGCAGTTCCTCGTGTTCCCCAATAGACGCTTTCCTCTTCTTCTTCCTCCTCGTCCGATGGTAGGAATCCCTCGAACTCCTCTTCATCGTCCGTCGTCCCGAACACCTGTTGAAAAAACCTTGTCAGGGAAGAAATTGTGGAACTCCTCCACTAGGCCCTCGTCAGTGATACAGCTTTCTGGGACCCAGGTATTCTCTGAACTCGGGGCCCCTTCCCACGCCACCAGATACTCTAACTGTTCCCCACCCCAGCGAGAATCCAGTATTTCCGTCACATTGTTGCACTGCTCCCTTTCCTCCATTTCGGGTGGTGGGAGTTCCCCCTCCCCACTACCCTGCCTCTTTCCCCCTTCCCTGTAGGGGGACAGCAGTGACCTGTGAAACACCGGATGGATCCTCATGCTCTCCGGCAACCTTAATTTAAATGCCACCGGGTTGACTTGCTGGATTACCTCAAAAGGCCCCACCCTCCTGGGCTTGAGCTTCTTGCAGCCTCCCTTCCAAGGCAACCCTTGCATGGACAACCATACCTTGTCCCCAACCCGGATGACCTCCCCCGGCCGCCGGTGCTCGTCGGCCTCCCTCTTGTAGACCTCCTTAGCCCTTTCCAAGTTCAACTGAAGCTGCAGGTGGATCGCCTCCATTTCCTCCACAAACTGTTCTGCTGCAGGCACACTCCACGACTCCTCCCCCCTTCCCAGAAAGGCCCGGGGGTGACGCCCGTGATTGGCAAAAAACGGAGTCATCTCTGTGGATACGTTCTCCACGTTATTGTAAGCAAACTCTGCCAGGGCTAGTTTGTCTACCCAATCGTTCTGCCTTTGACTGACGTAACACCGCAAATACTGTTGCAAAACAGCATTCGCTCTCTCCGCTTGCCCATTGGTCTCGGGGTGCCTCGCCGTCGTGAAACTCACCTCCACCTGCAACAAACCCATGAGCTTGCGCCAAAAACGTAAGGTGAATTGAGTCCCCCTATCTGAAACCACCCGAGCAGGTACCCCATGCAACCTAAACACATGCTCTACAAACAGCTTGGCTGTTTCTTCCGCCGTCACGGCATGCGAACGGGCCACGAAATGGCACATCTTGGTTAGAAGATCCACCACCACCATGATAGCGGTCTTACCCTTAGACTTAGGCAGGTCAGTGATAAAATCCACTGCCACCACCTCCCATGGCTTTCCTGGTGTGGGCAAAGGTTCCAGCAAACCTGCTGGTGCTGCCCTCTCCCCTTTGGCCCGCTGGCATGTGTCACACCCTCGCACATATTCCCTTACATCCTCCCTCACTTTGGGCCACCAAAATTCCCGGGTGACCAGTAGCATGGTCTTGTGTTGCCCAAAATGCCCTGCCGTGCAGCTGTCGTGGAGTTGCTTGAGAACTCTGGCCCTAAGGTTTTCGCCCGGAACATACAAGGCCCCCCGATAGTACAGGAGCCCCCCTTTCACTTTGAAGCCACCCTCGGCACCCCCCCTTTTCCCTCAACTCCCCCATCTTTTGCCTCACAAAGTCATCGTCTCTGAGCAGCTGCATCAGTTCGTCGTCCTTGACCAACGCTCCCCCACACATCCACTTGTTCTCGGGGAACATCAATCTAGCAACCGGAGGCCCTTCTTCCGCCAGATACACCGGTTTCCGTGACAATGCATCCGCCCTCGCATTCTGTTCTCCTGGCACATATTGGATCTTGAAGTTAAAGTTGGCAAAGAACTCCGCCCATCTTATCTGTCTCTGGCACAACACCCACGCCGTACGCCAGTACTCCAAGTTCTTGTGGTCCGTGCACACCAAAATTTGGTGCCTCGCCCCAATCAGGAAATGGCACCATTGTTTGAATGCAGCCACAATCGCAAGCAATTTCTTGTCGTAGATAGTGTGGTTTTGCTCCAATTTATTCAGCTTCCGCGAAAAAAAAAGCACATGGCCGCCACTCCCCCTTTTCATCTGGTTGCAGCAACACCGCCCCTATCGCCCGATCAGAAGCATCCGTCTCAACTCGCAGCGGTCGATCGGGGTTGACGTGGAGCAGTTGCTCCTCTGATGCGAAGACCCTCTTAAGCTTCTCAAACCCCTCTTGTGCCGCCTCCGTCCAACGAAACTTCTTCTTAGCACTAAGACAGTCCGTTATGGGTGCCGTCAGTTTCACGAGGCCCTTGATGAACTTCCTGTAGAAATTGCTGAAGCCCAGGAAACGCTGAACATCCTTCCTGGTCTTAGGGCTCTCCCATTCCACCACCGCCTTCACCTTCTCCGGATCCATGGCCAAACCCTTGTCCGACAGCCTGTAACCCAGAATCTCGACTTCTTTCGCGTGGAACTGACACTTCTCCAGCTTCACCCTCAGCTGATGCTCCTTAAGTTTGCTCAGGACTTGACGTACATCCTTTACGTGCTGTTTCTCGTTGTCTGAGTACACTAGCACCTCGTCCAAGAAACAAACACAGTTCCGGTACAGCAACGACCCTAGCACGCGATGCATGAAGGCTTGGAAACAGGGCCTTCCGCACTGTAAACCGAAGGGCATGACGAGATACTCAAACGCCCCCAGCGGGGTGAACATGGTGGTCTTCCACTCATCGCCCTCTCGCACTCTGATGAGGTTGTACGCCCCCTGGAGGTCCAGCTTGGTGAAAATTTTCCCCTTCCACACCCTGGCCAGAACATCGTCGATCCTCAGCATTGGGAAGAACACAGGTTCCGTCAGGCTGTTCAAAACGCGAAAATCCACGACCAACCTCCGCTCGTTAGTCGATTTCTTGTCCACGAAGAACATGGGGCTCCCCCCTGCCGCCTTGGATTCCCTGATGAATCCCCTTTTTAGATTTTTCTCAATAAAGTCCGTCAGGTCCTTGATCTCTCCCTCCGACATGGAGTAGAGCTTCCCCACCGGCAGCGTGGCCCCCGGGATCAGGTTGATCTGGCAATCATATGGTCGATGCGGTGGCAACGTGTCAGCCTCCTTCTCGCTGAACACCTCCTGTAGGTCCCGATAATACGGAGGAATTTCGGTCGTCCCTGCTTTGCATGCTGCTGCCATCCTGGCCTCCATTTGGCGAGGTTGCTCTAGGCCCAGGCAGTTCTCCATGCAGTGCGTCGAACCGAACGTCAAGGACCGTTGATGCCAGGAAACCACCAGATCATGCAAGGCCAACCAGTTCATGCCCAGTGTGATAGGCGGACCCGCCAACATGGCCACGTGAAAGGCGATGACCTTGGAGTGGGTAGACACCCGCATCCTCATGGGAGGCGTTTGATGGGTCACTTCACCTCCCAACAGTTCTCTCCCATCAATTGTAGTGACTTGCAGCGGAAAATCCAAAGGCCTCAGGTTCAGTTGGTGCTGCGCTGCAAACTCTTTGCTAAAAAATGACACCGAAGCTCCAGAATCAACCAAGGCAAACTCCTCCACCGCGTGGCCATTCGGGAGTTCTAGGACCACCTTCAACACTATGCTTGCTTTGGGGTGTCCGAGCCGAGGACTTTCACTGTTGCTCCCACCTGGCTGTTGCCCCGGTTCACCACCAGCCAGGCTGCCCCGTTTCCCGAAGTCTGGGGTTCCTCTGCCTCAGCCTGCTGGGTGGCCCCAACCATTCCCTGCCAGTTATGACGCTCCGGACACACTCTGGTAAAGTGCCCAGTTTTCTGACAGAAAAAACATTTCTTGGCCGCTTGCCAGTCCTTCTTCTCTTTGCCGCCCGGCCCTTGAGCTTTTGAACTTTCCCGCGCGCTGGCTGAGTCTATTTCCATGGGCTCCGGCTGTTGTTGACCTTCGGAAGCAGCTGCCTGCATTTCAGGAATGTGGTTACCATGGAAACTCCAGCCCTTGCCCTGCTTCCTTTCCCGCAGCCTGGCTTCCTGCCTCAGCCCCACCGCAAGAGCAGCCTTCGTTAACTCATCCATATCCTTGGCACGGGGGGCCCTAGCAAACTCATTCTTAACTTCAGCGTTCAGTCCAGCTTTAAACAAAGCTTGTACAGGCTCTGATTCCAAATCCCATCCCAGTTTGTGCACAAGCATTGCGAATTCTGACCAGTAACTACGCACTGTAGATTTTCCTTGCTTCAAATCCAAAAGCTCCTCCTGCGTCTTGTCAATATAACTTTGATCTGTGTAGATAAAATCCATCGCTTGCCAAAACTTGGGCAGACTTCGAAGTGCTTCATTATTAGAGGCAATTAACGGCCTCACCCAACTCTTAGCCCCCCTCCCGACAGGTGACTAATTATGTGGGCAACTTTCTGAGCATCATTATCAAACTGAGCTGATTCCAACTCCATAAAATATCTCATCTCAGTCTTAAAGTCCAAATAGCCCTCAGGATCGCCGTTAAACTTTTCCACCCACGAAGCTTTGCTCCTCCCCAGTAGCCCACCCGTGGCTCCACTTTGAGCAGCTCTGGCTTCCTCCAGACCCGACTGCAGGTCCGAAGCGCAGGCTTCCAGTTCGGCATTCCGCTTATGCAGTTCGGAAATCTCCTTCTCCATTTCTGGGCTATTTCCTCTTTTCACTAGCTTTCAGCAGGCCAGTCGATTCATGCTGTGAGGATTTTGTGCTGCCAAAGCTAGCTGAGATAAAGCTCCAGGCACACAGCCATCTCTGTACGGAAGATTTATTGCCAAAACTTCAACGCAGTTACAAGAGTTCAAAAAGCACATCCATCTTTTGCTAGTCAGATGAATCAACTGGCGATCTTTTCTTACTCCTCCCCCAGCAGGACCATTTCCTCAGTGCACGCCTCCTACTTCCTCTGTTCTGTGAGTGGCTAGTTCCTGGCACTGGCTCCCCCCTCCCTGCTTCCTCCTCTGACGTGGATGAGAAACTGCTGATGAGCGATTTAGGCTCTCTGTAATTGCCTCTCTCCCCCCTCGGCTCTTTGGCAGCTTCCAATTCCCTGACACTTTCTCAATTCTGATTTCCTCTGAGACCACATTATTAACTATGATTTTTGCTTTTTGTTCAAAATAGATCGCATTGATACCATTTAAAAATTCCTGGCCAACCTCAATTCTTTCTAGGTTTTCCATCATAAATAACCAAGAAACATTATCAAAGGCCTTTTCAGCATCAATAAACATTAACATTGCTTTACAATTTCTTTTCGCTTCCAACCTTTCTATTATATCAATTATATTTCTAATGTTATCTTTCATATGTCTCTCAGGCAGAAATCCTGCCTGGTCCTTATGTATATAATTTGATAGAACCTTTTTTAATCTATCGGCCAAAATGTTTGCGAAGATTTTATAGTCCACATTAAGTAATGAAATTGGTCTATAATTTTTTACATCAGATCTATCTTGATCTGTTTTTGGGATAAGAGTGATAAATGCATCTTTCCAGGTTTCGGGAGCTTTGTCCCCTCTTAAAATCTTATTACACGCATCTGCAAACGGTTGAATTAGCCAATCTTTCAATATTTTATAATATTTTGCAGAAAGACCATCCGGTCCCGGGGTTTTGCCTAACTGCATCTTATTTATTGCCATCTCAACCTCCTGTCTTGTAATCATGCCATTTAGTAGGAACCTTTTATCCTCGGGAATTTTCTGCATTTCATTCGCCGCAAGAAATTGCTCAATTTTATCCTTATCTTCTTTACCTTTTTTATACAGCTGTTTAAAGTATTTCTGAAAGCATTTCCTTATATCTGCAGGGTTTTCCATAGATTTTCCATCAGATACAATGTTTGTAATAGTAGTTTGCTTCTGTCTCTTTTTTAATTGCCAAGCCAACAATTTCCCACATTTATTCGCAGATTCAAAATTTCTCTGTTTCATCATTTTAATTTTCCATTCTATTTCCTGGTTAATAATTTGAAAAAATTGAATCTGCAATGCTTTAATTTCTTTTGGAATCTGTTGACTCTTTGGCATTAATCTTAAACTCTTCTCTTTGTCTTTTATTTGAGACAGAAATTTATCTTTTTTCTCATTCTGTATCTTTTTCCTTATCGAGTTCTGTTGTATGAGGAAACCTCTCATTACTGCCTTGCTTGCATCCCAAATGACTCTTGTTTCAACCTCTGTGTTCATATTTAGTTCAAAATAATCTTTTAGAGTCTTTTGGGCCTTACTAATCATCTATCCATTCCTCAACAACTCATCATTCATCCTCCATCTAAAGGAACCCTGCAGGAATAATTTCATCTCCAAAACCACTGCATTATGATCTGAGCAAGTCTTAGGGCAAATTTCTGTTTTAGGAACCTTAGGAACCAAATCTCTGGATATCCATAAATAGTTGGTTCTCGAGAAAGATTGATTTCAATTTGAGAAAAAAGTGAAATCTCTCTCCATTGGATTTTGCAGCCTCCATATGTCCGACAAATCGTATTTATCAGTCATATCAAAGAAAATCTTTGGTAGTCTGCCGGAACTTGGATTTTTCTGACCCTGTGTTTTTGTTGGGATACTGCCAGGGAGACAAAGTCCATCATGGCCCCCAAGCCGCCTCCGGACATCCATCGATCTCCCGTAGACACGCAGTATCAGCAATTAGCGACACGAGCTCCAGAAATAGCCTGCCACATTCCAGAGCCGATGCACGCTCTATCAGCAGATAATGCACAGCGAAAGATGCACACAGGAGAGCATTATTTACAAGTTTATTCAGCGTTGATCAGAACAAAGAAAACATGACTGCCTGCTTCAGTGTCTCTGGCACAGAGAGAGAAACGAAAACAAAGACAAAACAGAAACATCCTGTGAACAGGAAATACACAGACTCTGTGACTCACAAAGCCTGCTTCCTTTTAAGGTGGAACGGAAATATCCTAACATCCTCCCCCTTTCCGTGTAACCTGTAGTACCTGTGGTTCAACCCAATTGCAACTTCTGTACATAAACCTTAAGTTGTTCTCTGTTAGCAACCTTAGACAACAGATCAGCAGGAATTTCATTTCCTGGCATGTAGGACACCTGAATGAGTCCTTTCTGAATACACTCTCTTGCACGATGTAGCTTAATCTGCAAGTACTTGGTTCTTTGCTTGCAACCAATCTGGCTTTGTGTCTGACAATCTTGCCATTCTGGTCTGTCTTGGCCTTGAAGACCCATTTGCTGCCAACCAGTCTCATTCCTGGGACTACCGGTACCAAATCCCAAGTTTGGTTCCTATTCAAGGAATCAACTTCAGCCTTCATGGCATTAAGCCAAGGCTCAGCATCTTTAGAGGTTAACTCCTGAACCTCTTTGAAGCTTGAAGGTTCCCATACCTTTTCTGAGCTACTAAGAACAGCAGTTGCCGTCTTAGCAAACTCATCAGCAAATCTCTTTGGAGGTCTGCCTTTGGTCACTCTTTCAGATCTGCGTACTAGACGCAAGTCTTCTTGACTCATCTCCTCCTTCTTAGGAGAAAAGTGACCAATGGTGAACAGTGGTTCTTCCAGTTCATTGTCAGACGCATCAGATGGTCTGACTGAGGCCTTTGAGCTCTTGTAGTCTGCTGTGTCATCACTGTCGCTGACATCAGCAGCAGCGCCGCCCACTGAGCCGGAATCAGAACTCTGATCATCATCATCATCCTCAGCTTCCTCAGCTTCCTCAACATTATCTGCTTTCTTCACATCACCTTCATCCTCCTCTGGGTAACTCTGGAAAATTCCCACATTTTCCCCCCACTTAGGATTGTACTCAACACTCTTTGTGAACTTAATGGACTTAGAGTCAGTCATCCATACCCTGTATGCTCCTTTTTCGTACCCCATGAACAAACCATGGGCCCCACGCTTTCCAAGCTTGTTGCTCTGTGGGGTGTGTACCCACATGTCAGAACCAAAGATTCTCATGTGCTTGACGCAAGGTTTCTTACCAAACATCTTCTCATAGGGGGTACAACCAATAGGTGATGACAGTCTGCTATTATAAGTGTAAACAAAAGTCGACAGAGCCTCCCCCCAATACTTACCAGGGAGATTGGCATCATGCAACAAGGTTTTTAGGCCTTGAAGCAACGTTTGATTTGCTCGCTCCGCAAGTCCATTCATCCATGGCGATCTAGGCGTTGACAAGCCATGCTGGATTCCCTTCTCAGTCAGGAAAGCTTCAAACTGCTGAGAAGTGAACTCCCCGCCCCGATCAGTAAAGAGACAGCCGATACGTTTACTGTGAACATTCTCCAACCAAGCACAGAATGCCTTGAACTTCGGAAACGCTTGCGATTTCTGCTCGAGCATAAACACATGAATGTACCTGGAAAAAGAATCAATTAGAACCATGAAGTACCTTGCTCCACCCAAAGAGGGTGCAAGTGGACCAACCAGGTCTGCGTGGACTAGCTGGTAGGGTTTGGAAGCCTGCCTGCTAGACTCCTTGCCTTTTGGAGCAACCTTCACCTTGTTCTCTGCACAAGATACACATTTCATGTGAAACTTACAGGGTTTGATGTTCAAACCCTGAACCAATCCTGGCATCTTGGCCAGCGCCTGCCAAGACATGTGACAAAATCTTCTGTGTGCTTCGTGAATGCATCCTGCATGAAGAATTTTGTTAGTTTGTGCAACACAACAAGAATCAACATTAGGCACAACAGCACCATTGTCATCATAAGTTATACAGAACAATCCATCTATAAACTTTGCATGCAAAATGTCCTCTTTGCCTTTCCTGATGACACAGACGCTCCTCTTGAAGGAAATCTCAAAACCACGCCCAGTCAGCTGTGGGACACTGAGCAAATTGTCTGCAGCACCTGGAACATAAAGTACACCTTTGATGGTTGTGTGCAGACTTGCCAGTCTCACAGTCCCTTCTCCTGCGATTCGCAACGTCTTTGCATCAGCCAGGTGGATCTCACCATCTTGAGGTTTGAAGGAGATAAAGAGATGCCGGTCTTTTGCCAAATGGCGGGTGCATCCAGAATCTACAATAAATCTGGCCTTGGCCTTTGGAGCAGCTTTTGCAGCAAGCAAAACCTTGTTTTCCACCGGCGTGGGCTTTTGCTGCTTGCCCCCCTGCTCCTGGCCATCAAACTTGCCTTTAGCCTTTGGTGAAGCTGTGCCAGCAAACAGAGCCTTGTTTTTCCCTGGCTTGGGCTTTCCACCCCCCTTCTGCTTCTGGCCATCTGCTGGCTTCTTCCTTTGTTTATTTCCAGTCTTTGGACAAAACTTCTGAGTGTGACCTTGGGTCCCACAGTTCCAGCACTTCACAGCTGCCAACGCTTTGGCTCCCCCTGGAGGCTGGAATGCTGTCCCACATTGCTCCCCCTGAAGCGCACAAGCCGACTCAGCTGCATTCCTTCTATCGTATTCGTTTTGCAAGGTCGCCAAGACCTTTGTAGCAGTGAAGTCTTGTGCAGGTAGAGTCGCCAGCTGACTTGCCACGGCATGGTAGCTTTCATCCAGGGAGTCCAGGATGAGAATTGCCAACAGTGACTCAGGCATATTGAAACCTCTCTGAGTCAATTCCTGTCTGAGGTGCTGCAAATGTAAAACGTGGGCTCTAAGGTCTTCCCCTGGCTCCAAACGCTTCCTGTGCAGCTTTCTAAA